GGGTTTAGGGTTTAGGGCACGAAACCCTCAACCCTAAAGCCGCTTATAGGGCTTGTAGGGTTTAGGGTTCTATAGGATGTCTCAGGGCTTGAAGGGGCTTATGTACAGGTTTTAGGACTTAGGGTTTAGGGGTTTGAGCTTTAGGGTTCGGGGGTTTAGGGTTTGGGATTAGGGCTTAAGGTTTAGGGTTTAGGGTTTAGGGCCCACAGACGGCTTCCTCGAAGGAGGCAGGACCGTTTCCGGACTTTGACATATAGTTCAGTCACGCTAGCAGATTAAAATGGGCTGTTGAAGGAAAAAACTAGGCAAAAGTAGATACTTTTGGGGTTAGCAAGTTCAAGTATAAAATCAGAACTCAGAAACAACAAAGCGAGAACACGTATACCACTGAACAACCTGGAGCAGAAGGTTGGCAAGCGGAGAAACTGGGGGTTTCTGATAATAGGGGCCCTAATGTAGTACCCAAAATAGTAGGATCCTTAATATAAAGACACCAAAATACGGTACCCCTAATTTTCGGAAACTCCCAACTGGGTCTCTGACAGTTCCGCCAGCTCAGCACGGAGACTCTGCACATCTTTTGCTTCGTCCAGCTTCCTTGCAGCCACAACTGACTTAATGTTTAGGGTTTAGGGTTTTGGGTTTAGGGTTTAGGGAAAAGCTGTGCAGGTTGCCTCAACATCTCAGAGCAAAGTGCGCCGCAAAACAACTGCAGGGGTCGGAGCTTTTTCCCTCGTGCCCCTCCCCTTCGGGGCCTGCTGATGCCAGCTACATCATCTGCCGCGCGCTCGAGTTGTTGGGCAGCTATCCTTCGGCTCAGGGCACCGGGTGCATGATACAGCTTGGAGCTTGACATGCGCTTTTTCGACTCAAACTGCACGCCACACAGGACCTAAGGACAGCTGGAAGATGACCGTCCTGCTAGCAGCAGCTGGCATGACCTTGCCCAGAGTGCTGCGGACCGTGCGGCGAAGGGATGGAACTGATCTTGCACAGCGCCATTCCTTCACCTGCAGCATAGGATTTTGTAATCAAGATACGTCTTCATTCCATCCGTCTGCTTATAGCAGGGAGATGAAGCAGACAGCTTGGGCTTACGCCGTCGAGGTGTAGCTGAAGCTAGCCGGATCCTTGTATCTATTGATAGCATCGTCGACGAGCGAGAAGACCTCTCTGGTCCTGGCAAGCGCTGGCTCAGCATGCCTTGCTTTTGTGTCTCTCGACTCTGGCTCTCCGTTTCGTGAGCATGGAAGTACAGCCCCCGCCACGTTATAAGAATGGGTGTGATGTCAACCCCTCCTTCTAGTAGTGCCCCTCACCTCACATGACCTTTCATGACTCTGATGTAGGGGCCTTGATAATTAGAATTGGGTCTAGGGGTATATTATACTATAATTATAATAAGGAGCCCCCAAAACCCTACTCTATTTATGGGCTCCTTATCATCATTATAGTATAACATACCCCTAAACCCTATTCTATCTCTTAAGGCCCCCTACATTACACTGGAAGTCTTGCAAAATCGGCCTGGCTCGAACCTCTCTTGATGGCGCCACCCGACGGAAGATGGGCGCCTCATTCAGATTCACGACCTTGGCAGCAACGCTTTAAGGTTTAGGTTTAGGGTTTAGGGCCCTAAACCCCAAACCCTAAACCCTAGGCCGGAAAGCTGGCTCCGATTTTATCAGGTGGGGGTTTCCGAAAAGAGGGGACCCTAATATAGCACCCTAAATAGTGTAGGATCCTTATAATAAGGACCCCAATATAAGGTACCACCCGAATGTTCGGAAACTCCCAGGTGAGTTCGGAAACTCCCAGATGAGCTTCGGACATCTGGCTCGTATCTGGACCTCGGAGCACAAGTACTTCAATGAAAGCATCGTGTACCCTAAACCCTAAGCTTCGAAGCAGCGGCAGGAGTTTGAGGCCAAGCAGCACCATGATAGACTTCCTCAGCAGCTCTGCGCCCTGCATCGCTTCGTACCTGCGACATCTGCCAGCCTTGTGGCTTGCAGCCCCACGCCCGAAGCTCTCTTTTGATCAGTCGACCGAGGCTAAGGTAGGGCACTCGCATCTGCAAAATCCCCTGCAGATGATGTAGGCGGTGCCATCGCCTCGTCAGGACAGGCCGTGAGTGCACAGAACGTCCACTGAGAAATCCAGAGGGGTCGAGCTCTGGTGCGACTTTCCAGACTTGAAGAGCATCATGGAGTCAAACCTTAGCTGGCAATCAAGTTCATCTGCGCTGCGCAAAAGATCCGCGCCATCGGCACAATGCTCTGATTGGCAAGTGCGACAGGGTAGAAGTAGTAGCAGCGGCAGCGGTTGCAGGCAGCAGGTAGCAAGCAGTGGGTAGCAAGGGTACCGGGCCGCAGGTAGAAGGTAGCAGCCGCAGTCAGGGTAGCTGTAGGAGCAGGAGCAGTAGCCGGAGTAGTGATAGTTGGCGCAGTTGTAGTAGAAGCAGTCGTGGTCGTGGTGGTAGTAGTAGTAGTAGTAGTCGCAGAGATGGTTTTGGTGTTCTGGCGGCGGCAATCATAGGACGGTCGTCGCTGCTGTGGTCGCGTCGTCGTCCCAGTATTTATAGGAACACGAGAAAAATGCGGCAGGCATGACGTGCAGTCAAAATAAACGCTGCAACGATGGTCATGACAACAACAGCAGTGCCTGTCATAAAAAATACACGATGTTTCTAGTCGTGCTACGCCAGTCATAATGATTATCGAACATTAGTGTTGCAATAGTGTGGCTCAGGGCAGCGCAATCGGTCGACCATTGCCAGCACTTGACAGACACAGTCGAAGTACCAGTCCACATTGCCGTCCTGCAACGGGTGCATTAGCATGGTCTAGGTCGTTGGATATCCTATAACCACGACCCTCGCATTTGTGGTTGCCATTTGTACAGGCCTGACGGCATGCCTGGACATTTCAGGATACCTTGGGGTTGTTGCAAGGGTCGGGTACAGTAGCATCTGCGTTCACTCGCATGTTTACCCACGATGCTGCTCACGCCGTGATTCTTTCAGCCCATTTCACATCCCAGTAGTCCTTGCAGTTCAGTCGGAACATCATGACACCACCGTTGCGCAAGTTGCAGAGGCCCAGTCGTAGCTGCTGGAAGAGCAGTGCCCAGATGCCAAGAGCCGGATTGAGGCTCTGGGCTTTTGCCTCAGAAGATGGTTGAGGGCTGTTCTCCGACTGGTCTAAAGTGAAAGTTAGTGGAAGTGTCAGCAGATCGGGCTTCCAATTCCAAGTAAACACTAGAGGGAAAGGCCTATCCCAGAGTCCTATTGCATCCCAACCAACGCCGAAAGGAGAGTAACCGCAGAGCGCCGCGCCAAAGCAGGATCCGGCCCGGGCTGGTCCGCCTGACTCGCAAATTGCGGCTTCAGCCATGTCGCCCGTTTCCGTCCCGTGCCCTTTGTGATGCATGAAAATGAAACTACACGAGCCGTTTTGATACAGACATACATATGGATATAAAGGTAGATACTGATACAGATACACACGAACAGAGTTTATGAACGCAACACGGGTACATGAGTAGCGTCATATGGATATGAACAGATAAGAGCAGGTGGTGTGCATTTCTTCCGTTGGCGAGCATGTACTGATACACACATGTGTATACATATATATATATATATGTATATGCATGTGTTGTGTCCGTATATATATATATACATACACATGTATGCACATAGACTTACATGTACATAGTCATAGGCAAAGCAATGGAAATTGACACGCGCACACATACGTAAATATATACGTTGATATATGTGTATAAATATATATACTTACATACATACACACATCTTGTGTGCACGCATACGAATCTATATATATATATATATCCTTGGATGCAGTCGTCTTCTTTCTGTCTATGTCATCCAGCCGCCTTGCGCAAAGGAAGATACTGGGCATCGGAGATCACCATGTCTACCTGGTGCTCACAGCCTGGGCAACTCAGGCTCCGCATGGGACGGATGCCAATCGAGGAAGGAGCGTGGTAGTGGAGTTTTGGGTTTAGGGGTTTAGGGTTTAAGGGTTTAGGGGTCTAGAAGTTTAGGGTTTAGGGTTTAGGGGTTTAGGGTTTCTAGGGGGTTCAGGGTTCAGGGTCGGCAGGAGGCTAACACAACGCGAGTGACACTGTGAGCAGAATGCCAGCCGTGCTCCTGCTGGTGGTACTCGTTGCTCTGCTTCCGTTCACTACGACTACGACCACGACGACGATGCCGACACCAATGCCGACGACTTCGACGACAACCATGACGACGACGACTATTGTAATTATTACTGTTGTTACTGCTACTACTGCTGCTGCTACTACTACTACTACTACTATACTACTACTATACTACTACTATACTACTACTACTACTACTACTACTACTACTACTACTACTACTTCTACTACTACAACTACTACGACGACGACTACTACCACCACGACGACGACTACCACCACGACGACGACAACGAC